CAAATAAGTGTAAATATATAGATTAGTATATTGAGTGGCAGTGGCATTAAAAGAAATTAGTTTTTAATTATATCTATTATGTTTTCTCCATTTGGGTCCCAACTGAGAGGTGGAATGACTTGTGGCTGCATCAGTAACAAAATCCAGGTTTATGGCCTATCCTTTCCTACCTTCTTTTGTCTGAATAATTGTCTGTTGAGAAGGTGAGCTCTTTAGGGGCAGGGATTTTTTTGTCCATGTGAGCCTGTGAACCTCTTGGGGCACATCAGTTCTGTACAGAAAATGGTGCTGCCTGGTTCCCAGTCCCTTACTAGACACTTTGTCATCATGGACCAGTGCTAAAGGGTCTTTCTTACTGTGACAGTGCTGTCACTGTGATCTCTCCTTACACTTGAATGTCTTGGCTCAGTTGTGCCACTTTCCTTTCTGGATATAGCTCCCTTTTGATATTGCCATCATGATAAAGCGCTTCTAATATTCACAAGCCATAGTATGTGGTAGAGTGAAGAGAAGGAAAGTTATTTCCTAATCATGAGCTTTGTTGCTTGCACTTTGCATTATACCCACAGAGGCCTTGTGAATTTTACTGACTGCTCTAATGTTCATTGTTTTTGTGGGGAAGTTAGACTCCAATGAGAGCATAAGGAGTTAAGTAGTAGGAGGAAAGTTGTGAGAAAAGATATGAGAAAAATTCAGATAAGTTAATTACCCTCATGTAAAATTCCCTTGGAACAAGTCCATCAGGAATATGGTGGATTCTATCACTTCAGCAAACATTAGATGTATTTCTAGTCCAGCATTGACGTAGCTCAACCAGGAGTGAGGGGCTTGATGCACAAACTGTTTGGTGAAATCCTATAGTCTACATTATGACTTAACCTTTCCAGCAAGTGCTCAGATGCTGTCCTGAAGCATGAGGATTACATCCCTTTTTAAACATCTTTGTGTTAGTGTCTGAATATTCATGTTATTCATATAAAGGTCTAATCCATTTTGAATCTTGCCAAGCACTTGGCCTCAATGATAGCATGTCCTCACATGAAGGAGATGAGATGTTCCCAACCTTAGGTCAATTCATTTTTTGTGTGTTTTTTCTCAAGTTTCTTTTGTTAACCTTAGAAAGGAGGCAACTAATTCTAGTCTATCCAGTCTCTCTCAGTATAAGTTTTTTTACATGTCCTTTCGTTTTCTTGTTGCTTTCCTGAACCGGAGCTTTTAGTAGGAAATATTTTCTGTTAGTTTACATTTCTTTTGCTCAAACATTTTCTTCTTAAAAATCCAAGTGAAAACAACTATAACTGAGCTCAGCCAGGTGCTGACTGCCAGCTTCAGAGTGGGGCAGGTACTTGTTGTCAGGGGAGTAAAGCTGTTACTCCCCAGCCTGGCCATGGACAGAACTGTTCCCTGCACCACAACACACGAGTCACTCCATGAATGGCACGTGCCTCTGGCGGCTGTTGGAGGGATGGCTGTGCTGGCGGTGGTGGGAGCGTGGTGGTGGCGGCTGGAGCCCGGCGATGGTGAGCAGGGAGCTCCCACAGGAGCCGCCGACCCTGTTGGCGGCACCTTTTTGCAGGTGATGCACCGCCACATACATGCCCTAGGCGTTGACCCTGGGTCACTCAAACTCCACCACAGCCCCAAAGTGCTCCTCGCCGCCCTTTATGCGTTGCCTCTGCCACCTCAAATATCCCCTGGGCTCCATACTGTTCCCTGTTATCCCACAGGTCCCAAGCACCCTCAGACCCCACCATACCCCACATGCCCCATTGAGTCCTACCCTGCACCCACAAACACCCTGCACTGACTCATCTCCACCATACCACAACCCCCCCTGAACCTCGCCATCCTCTTCACATCTGACTCAGCCTTACCCTACCCCTCTGGGAGCCCAAATTCATTGCAGTCCCTTACGCTCCCTGGTCTTCCCTTACCCATAAAACTCCTCTTACCCTTCACTTCATCCCTGTGGCTCCAACCCTTCAAACCCCTCTGCCCTTCACACTCCCAAAATGTCCTGGCCCCTCCTCAGCCTAAACCCTTCCATCCTACAGCCCCGCCCCCCCAAGCCCATTGTTGGTCAGAAACACAGTAAATCTCCTGGCT